TTTTGTTCTGGGTGTGGCTGTATTTATCCTCCTCCCACAGGAAGATGAGTTTGATTCATTTCTGTGGATGAGGAATATATGCTGATGTGTATCTTAAACTGCAGGATCCCAAGGGCCTAATTCAAAAGAAAGCGTACAAAGTTCTTTCGATCATCTTGAAGGTATTGCTTCCTTTGCCTTAAGGTTCCACTCTTCGACCAGGTCAAGTATATTGATATCTTTTGTGCATGGCTGACTGGTTTCATGCTCGCTAAGTGTCTAAAACTTCATCGCTAGGATGCCTTGATAATATTTTATTTGTACATCATCAATATATTATATGCTTGTTTGCTTTATGCTAAACAGTAGATGACTACACTGATGCTGTTTCTTTATGTCCTTGGAAACCTATAACTTTAGCTTTCGTTTTCAAATATATCTTGACTAATTTCTCGGGTACAAATGTTTCTGTTGCCAGACTTCTGATGGATTTATTTCAAAGAACCTTAAGGAGTTGCTTGAGCTGATGCACAATATATGCCATGTCTCTGCCAAGCGCCATAAACTTGATTGTTTATACTTCCTGTTAGCTCATGCGTCAAAGACTGTAAGAATTGCATTTTGACCAAATCTATTATGATATAGATGTAGGTTTTAGTTTTAGAATTGCATTTCGTTTCCCGTGTTAGGGAAATAGTCATCGTAGATGCTGATGTTGTTTCCCCCGTACAGGCTGATTTAAAGGAGAGAAAAGACATTGTTTCTTCTTTTCTACCCGAAGTTATACTTGCTTTAAAGGAGGTACTAAACATTGCTTGAAACTGTTTTTGAACTATGATCGTGTAAGAATCGTTATTTAGGTCGCTGCTGTTTGTGCAGGTAAATAAAAAAACAAGAAGCAGAGCCTATGATGTGCTTGTTCAGATTGGTCATGCATACGCAGATGAGGAATATGGTGGAGACAGTGAAAAATTACATGGGTACTTCAATATGGTGTGTTGAATCTAATCATAACAATTCATTAGTACATTGTTTTTCAAGATTTTTTGATTTTCCTTTTTGCGTCAATATTGTTTGTTGACCTCTGCTGTAACCTTCGCAGGTGGTTGGTTGCTTGGCTGGAGAAAAACCTCAGATGATTAGTGCTGCTGTGAAGGGAGTAGCTCGCTTGACATATGAGTTTTCTGATCTCATAGCTAGTGCTTACAATTTGCTTCCTTCAACATTTCTTCTCCTCCAGAGGAGAAATAAGGAAATTACAAAAGTTAGTTATCTTAACTTACAAGAGGCCACAACTCTATGTTGCTGCGAGTTAGCCATTTGTCTCACTTGTTTATGAACGAGACTCAGTGAACGGTTTTCCATATTCTGAAACAACTAATTTATTTTGGAAAACAGGCGAATTTAGGTTTGTTGAAGGTGTTAGTGGCAAAATCACCCGTTGAAGGACTACACGCAAACTTAAAGAGCATGGTCGAAGGCTTACTCAAATGGCCAGAAGGAACAAAAAACCTTTTCAAAGCAAAGGTGTGTTTCTAATGCAATATGCCCAAGATGACATTATTGGTATCTAGAACTTGAATATCTCATTCCCACAACTTTTCCTTCTCTCACACACGTAGAAGCACACCCTGACACATGTTTTTGTTGCTTAGTGGCAAGCATGCATACTAGTATTTGTTTCTGTGGATTCTTGTCCTTTTCTGACGAGGTCATGTTGGTATACTAGGTGAGGCTTCTGTTGGAGATGCTCATCAAGAAATGTGGCACGGAGGCTGTCAAGTCTGTGATGCCTGAGGAACATATGAAACTCCTGACAAACATCCGAAAGGTTTGCTAACAATGTTCATAAGTTGTCTAGATTTCAGTATCTGTATTATGTCATCATCTTCCCTTGGTTCACCTCAGATCAAGGAACGCAAAGAGAAAAAATATGCAGCTGGCTCTGACATAAGTTCATCACAGCATTCAAAAGAAACTTCATCAAAGTACTTTTCCAACTCAATTGACAGATGTTCTCGTAGATGTTTCTGAGTGGTCAAGTACTGATTGTTCTTGATTTCATGTCTTCCAGGGCTAGCCGGTGGAATGATACCAAGATATTTTCCGACTTTGCGGATGAAGATGAGGACAGCGATGGAGACTACATGGATGCAGGAACTCATGGCCGTAGCAAGGCGTCCTCTTTGTTGAAATCTAAGGCATCCGGGTTGAGGTTGATTGTTGTTATATACTCATTTTGGCATTAATCTTGGCTCGATATGCTTTTGGATCTACCTACCCAACTTGTTGGTGATATATTGTAGATCCAAGAAAAAACGGAACCAGAGTCATCTTGAAGTGGATGAGTCAGATGATGAACCGCTTGACTTGATGGATCGACACAAAACAAGATCAGCTCTTCGATCAAGTGAACTTGGCAAACGGAAAGCTGACTCGGATGAAGAAGCAGAGTTTAATGAGGACGGACGGCTAATCATCCGCGAAGGGGAAAGAGCTAAAAGGAAGGAAATCTCTGATGCAGATTCAGATGCCAAGAGCAGCAAAGGTAGCCGCTACTCTGTAAACTCATCGAGGAAGAACCAGAAGCGGATGAAGACATCAGAGTCTGGATATGCATACACGGGCAAAGAGTATGCAAGCAAAAAGGCAAGTGGGGATCTTAAGAGGAAAGACAAGCTTGAACCGTATGCATACTGGCCACTTGATCGAAAGATGATGAGTCGTAGACCAGAGCAGCGGGCGGTTGCAGTCAGAGGTATGTCAAGTGTGGTAAGGATGACGAAGAAGATGGAAGGAAAGAGCGCTGCGGAAGCACTTGCTGCCACCAAGTTCAAAAAATTCAAGAAGAGTGGTCAGAAGAAATCGGCTGGGAAGAAGAAAAGCAAGTAAACAAGTTCCATAAGCTTCTTCTCACCATGTTCTAAGATATCAAGAGGAATAGTAGTTTATTGAAACCAAATTTTTGACTGCTGAAACTTTAATTACCCTTTTGTCCATTTTGTATTGTAATTCGGATTTGGTTTTTAGAGTTGATATCTTTCAAGGGAAGTTCTGGATTGTTCTTGTCATTTGATCCATCTCTACCAAGAGTAGTTAAGAGCAATAGCTATCCATGAAAACTCTTTTAACTATCCCATATCAACTTGGCAGGCGTACTCAAGGGTTCAAGAACAAGATTTTTGTGGTTCAATGGTCTTGGCTGGTTTTTCAACGAGAGAGCTTTACGGGTTTTGTCAGTACTGGATTTGATGAACTAAATCAAATAGCCTTTCAAGTCGGTTAGACCGACTAGCCCGGCCGGTTCGGTTTTTAAAGCATGACAACCATACGAAAATCTAGAATTGTTGTGTATATATAGAACGGAGTCCTTGATTGGAAATCTTCCGTAGCTTGTATTCCTTAGCGTATTGAAAAACCTTTGATTTCTGTCGCCACCTAATTTTTCACCAACT